GTTTGTCCCAACAGGTGCGGAAGTCTACCCAAAGGAGGGCTCAGGAGAGGTATACAGTTCAGAAAACAGTATGATTAAACAGTTTATTATTATAACAGTATTTTATTAAAATTTCATTATATCAATTTTAGTTATTCACAGTTTAATAATGATATATTTAAACTCTAATACTATGAGCAACAATGTGTTATGTGTATACGATATACGAAATGAGCGCAACCACCCGGTATCTCACACTCAAGCAAAGAGAAGGGCATGCAGACACACGTTCCGACATTCCAGTGACGTCATCAGGTCAAATGAGCGTGTAAACACGTCCAATGACGTCATAGTGTGCAGACACACTTCCTGAGACAGACTTGTCCAACACTATGACGTCATCATATCAAGGCAGTGTGCATACACATCCGACGTTCCAATGACGTCATCAGATCAGATGAGCATGCAGACAGGCTTATCGAATTTTTGGTGACGTCATAGTGTCAAATGAGTATGCACACTAATCCGATGACGTCAAATGACGTTATAGTTTTGATCGAGCATGTATCCACACGTCCGACAGCGAGGAAATCGGTAGGGAATGCATACACACATCGGGGAAAAATATAACGTCATAACTACGAGTTTCCACACACATTCGCTTGATGACGTCATATCGGACCACTTGGGATCACAACCTGTGTTTTACACTCTAAACAAAGATATAAACTATTTATATCACAATTTAATAGTATTAACGTCACTTCGGTGACGGACAGTCTATAAAACACTAGCTAACACATACGAGGGCAACGGAAATTATCGGTAAAATTTAGTAAAAATACAGGATAACTGAGTTAAGACTATATTACATGAGGGGGCCCCGCCATACTTGTGATCAGCTGTTCGTGGCCCCCTTTACAGCCCACTGATGTATCTAGCTACTGCTATGTACAATGCGAAGCTTACATTCAAGCACGAAGAGAAAATAAGCGAACGGTGACCATGGTCACGTGACCGGAAACGACCAATAGGAGCAAACTAATATAACATGTGACCTCAGACGTGAGAAATAGTGCAAGTTTATGTTTAGAAAATAAATATCAAAAAGTGTTGTTTGAAGTGTATTTTTAAAGGTAATTTAAAAAAAATATTCAGTAGTATTTTAAGGGAGCTGATGTAAATACATATTTCTCAATCATCATTGTAGGTTTCTTGAAACCGAAGCAAGCGAAAGAATTGGTTGTAAATTTTATTAACTTATAAATGTGTATTTGAAATTTGATTACTGTAGTAAATTTCTTGTTGGTAAGTAATTATGTGTGCAGTTAATTTGGTATGTAATATTTTGCAACATTTGTCGTATAAAGATTTGCATAATGTATTGTAATAAGGTGACCTACATATTTAGTTTTATTTATTTAGTTTTTCACTTTATGGTGTTCTCAATATTTGTTATTAAAAATATATAATAGGTTTACAATCAGTTTTGTCAAGTGGTAACGAAAGAAATCGTCATCAATAGTTTGGAAATCAGTTTGTGGTAAATTAAAATTATTATTTTTTTTTTATTTCGACAAATATATTGTGGTTTAATGGTATATCTAATTTAAAAACTCAAATTTAATCATTAGGAGAATATTTATGTTATATTAGTTTACTTTTAAAATATTGTACATTTAAATACTAGGATATTGGCATTTCTCTGAGCTTCAAAGATATATGAGTGCTAGAAAATAACCAAGATAAATATACCGGCATCAAATATCACAAAAACTTGTAAAGGGCAATTTACTTCAAATGCTTTTACTTAAAAATTGTGTGATAAGATCTTTTACAAATAATATACTAAGAAAATAGATTTTTCTCTATGAACATCGTTCTAAAGTAAATATGTAAACTATAGGTAGTTGTCATATTATTTTAACTTAACAAATATTACTCATTATCTAAGTAACACAAAAATTAAAATTTTTACAAATATTTCACACCAAAAGAATTTTACAACCAAATCAGCTCCACTGAGAAATGCACAGTATCCTAAAAAGTTACTACTTTTAAAATATCCTGAGCTACAGTGATAGTTCACAATACCTTCCATCGAAAGTAGATTAAAATTTGGAAATTCCACAAGTTTCGAAGCGTTATTGTCGAGCGAACTTTGCGATATTGGCAGTGTTTCATACTGAAGGGTCTAATACAAACTCGTACTGGGATATTTGCAACAGGTTAGTATATTTCTGAAATGACTATCCTATGAGGTCTACTCATGTGTGCTCATCACAACTCAACTTAGAGTAAATAACATAGTGCGTAACGGGGTAAATGCAGGGTTTAAGTATGTGTTTTTGAGGTTGATGGACTTTGAAGTTAATCCATGGGCCACAAGGGATTGTGTTTGGAACATAGGGTAAAAAAGGTTGAGATGCTCAAATGAACTGTAATATACTTTAGTTGTCAACTGTAGTTAATTTTGGTAACGTTTAGACTCGAATCGACAACGCGTCACTAAGACGACTTGTGATAATCAACAAACTTTTTGGATCTAAAATAAAGAAACCTTAAGATTATTTTTGTCACAAATGATAATATTAGTAAATCATGATAGGTTGATCAGAATAACTTTTGAGACTTTCCTATTTTTTATAGATAGGTTTATCAAGGAAATCTGTCCTGGGCTTTTTGCATTTGTACGTTTTGTAACAAAAGTTTCTACAAGTACTTCAATAGTATGGTTACAATATATTTGACTCGTACTAATCGGTTCATGAATAGCACAGTTAGTATTATCATAAATATCTGCTATCACTTGACACATTTTTCATAAGCCCTGCATATACCACAACTTAAAATAATACAGGTTAACAATGCATTTTACAAAGTAAAAGTTACAATAACATGTTTTAAAGGGTTGTGAACAAAACTGTTTGGAATGGATGTGTTTTCTCTAAGGAATCTTCGGACATTTTGTCCTCGCTGAAGCAGAACATGTTCTCTCTCAGCCACACTAGGTTATATACAGATTGTCGGGGCATGAAGATGTATTAGTACATTGCTTAACCGAGTCCATCACCATACTAAGCTTTCAGATAAGCTAACATATATCTAAAGTCATTGCACTATATAAATTATTGAATTGGCACTTTCAATCAAATAGTACAAAATGGTGGTTTTGTATTTCATTGGAATATTGCAATAAAGTAACCTGTGAGCAAAAATATTGCATGCCAAAAATGACCGGTTTGAATTTACAGGGTTAAAAATGGAAAACGAAACTTACAGTTTGTGTACGTATCTGGCGTTATTTCGAACTTTACATTAAACATACAAATATTTACATAGAGTACAAGTTATTTGTGTTCTCGAATATGCAATATCAGAGGAAATGTATAAATTAGAGAAACTTTAGTCACATCTTAGACTAATGAGAAAGTGTTTATACAGACACCTAAGCTATTAAAGCGGCCGTTAAGTCGAATATGGTGGCGAGATAAAATATTTTACAATCTCTTAGGTAGTGAAGAATTAGTTATGGAACCAGAAAAATGTCAAGCTACTAAATGGATAAGTAAAATTAAAATTGTGCACGCAAATTATAGATACAGTTATTAAGGTTGGGTGTATCTTCAAACACATAATGGAATGTAATTAATTTTCGTAATTTTCTAAAGTATCTTTATAAAACGTTATAACCAAGAGTTAACATTTTATTTAAACTTGATCAGGAACTTGATTAAAACTCATAGTAAACATAACCAAACGTAAGTAAGTGACAGTTATATTTATCAAAAGGTTATAGTTTAAAGTGTATGGAAGTAAAAGAATAGAAATTCGTAAAATACAATTAATAGATTAAGGTTTTTTGTGTGACTTATTCTGATTTGTGAAAGGTAAATATGGGTTGGAAGTAGAACATGGTAGCTAGGCTAAGAACTCACACTTAACTAAATATTTACAGGAAAATATTCTGATAAGCATACTGATTTAAAAATAACTGGTCAGATTATGAATACATGTAATGCTATTAGGAAAAGTTAAAGGGCATCTTTAACATGAACGAAACAAATTATACTCCGTAAAAGCTATAGTGATAACATTTGTACAGACTACATTGTTTCAGAAAGATTATAGACCAATGACAATACTGTATTTAGAATATTTAAATAACAGGGCAGATTGAGTGACACAACCTCAACCCAAAAAAGATAACTCGATGAACGACGAAACCACAGATTTAGATACATAAAAAATACAAAAAACCCACATACCAATGTTTCGAGGTAAATTCCAATTGTATAAGTAGATCATCACTCGTTAGAATTAAATTTTGTATTAATAAAATAAATATTAGTTGTGCCAAATTTCCACCATAACGTAAATTTTTATCCTAAGCATTGACAGTAAAAATCATTGATCTTTTATTTTGTTTTTGGGTGTTAACTTCCTTGTGTGAAAATACCCAAAGTTATGAGATTAGCTTTGATTTTGTTGTAATATGTATACATTATTTTTTTTAACCCTTTTCAAAACTAAACGATATAATAAAAAAAAATTCTATTAGACGGGGAGGGTTTTTGAATTCCAAGATTCTGAATCAACTACTTATTGGATTTTTATGATTTTTCTGTTGAAAGAAAGATATTCTTGAAAGGGAGGGAAAGTCGAAGCCATAATTTTAATTTGGGGGTTCAGTTTTTTGGAAATTTTGTTTTCGTTCCATAAAAGTATGGCAGCCAACACTATAATTTTAAATTTGTTTTACCATAATTTTTTTCAAGTAACAGTTGGTTTCAAACTGTCACTAAAATGTTTACGTTACAAGTTGTTTACAAGAATATTGATCGTCTGTATTAATGAACATATTTTTACAATTTTACTACAAGTAATTTTTTCCTACCTAAACTGTATATGATTTTTGTTTTCAGAAAACGTATAATAATTTTTAACTACATCCTAAACATTTGATACAATTAAATTTTTTCGTAAATATAATCTGTGTAAATATAAATCTATACTGTAAAAATTTGAATTCATATGATGGGGAAATATTTTTGCAGCAAACTATCGTTTTATTGTAAAAGTCATATTTACTTTACATGTTAATAGTTCTGTTTCTGAATGTTCGAATGTCTATCTTATGGCATACCTATGTTGGATAGTAATGGAGATTTCAACCGGTGTTGTAGGTATACAATATCGGTCTCCAAAAAATCTGTTTGAGTCCAAATTGTTGCAGGTAGAAACCAATAAGCACTATACCATATATCCTAGTAGTCAAAGGTAGTACCAATAAAACTAGGTACTGACTAAGAAATCCGAAAAAAAATTATAGACCAATTTAAGAAAGTTTGAGAATACGAAAGAACAAGTCGATACGAAAGTGCCGCTGTCCAAAAGTACAAGGCTAACATGGGTAGGTCATGTGTGGAAGAGAGAATAACACGCAACTTTGAACAGTCTATTCCGAGGAGTATTAATGTAGATAATCCTAATAGATCCTAATAATAGATAATCATAATGTAGATGTAAGAAGTTTTTGTCACTGCAGCATTAGTATTTTTTTCCTTGATAACGGGAGGAGCTTATCCACCTCCAGAAACGTTGTGTAGTTTTAAACACAAGATTCTTTGGAAAAGTCCAATTTAATGATAGTAAAATAATGTAGATGACCGCTTGGAAGACCAAGAGTGAAGTGCAAAGACAATGCAATGAAAGACAGGGACTGGGATCTACATTAGAAGAGGCATGTAATAGAAGAGGATGAAGGTGTGTAGATGACAAGGCCAGAAACCCCACAAAGTTTCAGTAGCTACGGAGAAAGTATAATTTAGGCAATAGTATGCAATGGAAGATGGTATTATAGATTTTTATGTCTACTGTATAAATCGGCTCCAATCTCACTTCAAGGCTTTTTACAGAGACAAAGTTACTGTTTTATTGTGAATTCATTGGTTTTAGAATGCATACGGATGTGCATAATCGGATGAAAAATAGGTGGCCATATTCTATGTACAAGGATTTTTTAAATATTAAAACTATCAGAATGTGTCTATATATGTAGGTTAATATCTAGATAATAATGTTTTTGAGTGCAGCTCTTGAGAAATTTTGAAGGTGGGTGAATAAAATAGTTTAAACTGAATACTTGATTCCCGTGCGTAGGACAGGCCCTAGTTTAATAGTAATATAAAGCCAGCATAATATTGGTTCAATGATTACTCAGATAAGTAAGGGAACACACCCCAGCCAGATTTGAAATTCATACAAGACATTTATGAAATATATAAGAACAAGCAATATAAATTAGTTAGTTATTATTTATCCTGATAACATGGGGGTAGCGTGCAGAGGTATACAAAATACGTAGAACAGTAATAGAATAAACTGAATTGTTTGTACTTTTATGTTGGGTTAAAATACTAAGCATGTTTGAAATTTGGAAGAGCCTAAATGCAGATATTTGGTGAACAAAACCACCTACCATTGTTATCCCAGGCTGATTCGCAAAGCAATTCTAATTCGTTTCGGTTTACATACTGCATCTTGGCCTTTCGATTATAACTACAGTAAAAACTCTACGTCGAGAAATGACGGCATTGGTACCAGTATGCTTACCAGAATGTGATAAACAATCTAAATACAACAATTTGTTAACTTATATGAATACACATTGTCTTTGAGACATTAATCTAACACTTATTCCTCCCTTACCGTAGGTTAGACCTTTCGTAACAGCGCCCGATGAGCGTTTTAACAGTTGTAGGCACGAGCATATGTTATAGAAATGTTTAAACAATCGTTCCCTGGTTATTCGAGTAGGACAGTGAACCGAACGATGGGTTTGAACGAAGGAGTGAAGGATGCAAAACTGTCAAATATAGTGTATTTTTAGGGTTCCAAATGTTAAACAGTTTATTAAGGGCTGTAAGTAAAACTATTATGATGATCGTAAGGAATATAACTTGTACGTTTTACTAAAAAGACAAAGTGTATTTTATATTTTTCCTCAATAGCTGAGACATAGGGATATAATCTCTAAACGTGTACATTTACCAGAATAACCAGGGACCCACTCGTCTTATTACTCTAAGAATCAAAATACATTTAAAATTACGAATATTAAAGTATTTTATAACAGTTTAAACACGGGTTTATGAAATCTAGTTTAACTTACACTCGATTATAAAAGTGTTAACAACGCTCCGTGTAGAGGAGCACGATAAATTCGTTACAGGGTTGCACTACGTTACATTTGGTTATCCGTCTTTAATTTATTACTAATGTACAATCGCTACATAAAAAGTTTCGACGTATGAACATATTACCCGTTGATCACGCACAAGGTCCAAAGGAGATTACGTGACTATGATGTGAGGCGCGGAACAGAGCACTGCGATGGTGGCTATGACTGTGAACAGGGTGAAGATGATGAGGCAGAGGCGATCGACCACCATGGCGGCGAACTTCCAGTCGTTGGTCACCTCCGCGGCCTCGTCCTCCTTCCGCAGTTTGTCGGTGATCACCCGCAATTCCTTGAGGATGAGCGTGAGCTCCCGGTGGGGGCCCAGGCAGGAGTGGAGGACTCCGCCCCCGTCTTCGTGCCCCCGCAGGAACGTGTGACTCGAAGACTGCAGCGTCCCGTGGCGAAAGTCGTCGTCAATGTCGAGCACGTTGGCCAACAGACTCTTGGAAGAACGCTCCTTCAGTTCCAACTCCCGTAGCTGCAGAGATTTCCGACTGTCCGACACGTTGTCGGCGTTCTGCAGACCGGGGCGTGACATGCGCAGAATGCACGGCAGCCAGTGGAGGAACAGCGATTTGATCTGGAACAGCAGGAGTTAGTTACAAACTGAGTTAGCTGTAGTTAACTATGAGGCAAGTCGATTACAATGAGTGAATGATGGTGATAGTAACTCATAGTGGTCAAAAGGTCACCGTTTCAATCCTGAGTAAATTCATAAGCTTTGATGGTTCGAAAATGGACCAAGATATACTTGATCATTTGGACTTTAGGAAATTTTCCAGACTATAGAACTTTAAGACGCTATTGCCAAAGCTATTATCTAGTTCATTTTACACTCATAGTGCAACCATGTTCGCTTTAAAATATGCTCAATGATACATCGGACGGGTATAAAATCAATCTATTCTTTAATACTTCAATACCTTTAGTTGAAATGGAGACCATACTAAGGTAGGTATATTAAGCCAAGTATGAATCGAGATGAGTGTAGGATGAGTGGTGCGATCTAAGTCTTGTTACTGACTAAGGCGGACAAGTTCCCTAGACAGGGGGGTGTTAATTAATAGCCCATACAGCCAATAGCAACTAAGGGGCTTACAGTCTACAGTCTATAGTGGAATCCGAACCACATGTTTGCATTGTAATTTACGAATTGGTGTAATTATCAGGATAGCACTGAGGATAGTCGTAGTACTCACTATTGCGGACATTAATCCACACCAGGGTGTATCGCATCCACAGTGCATACCTATAAATATCCACAATTCGTGAACCCCAAGTAGCTGGATTACAGGACGACGCCACCGTCCCAGTACGACATTGGAAACGGATTTAGGACAACAGAGAAGTGATGAGGAACAGAAATTTACCTAATAGTGGTTTTATATTGAACTGGAGGTACAGTGGAACATAAATATATTAGATTAGTGCCTTGAATTGGATTAAAATGTAATACATGTTTTAATAGGAGATGGATATAAGGAACGAAAAGTTACTTTATATGTACTGTAGTTAAATGGGGTTTAAAATGGAAATTTTGATGTTTAAGAACACATACTTATGTATATACACATGTGATATCATTCTGAACTCTGGTTGTGCCACCCAGAGAAAATAATTTTGGGGATGATATATACACTGTTTTATTACTCATGGAAATAAACCCATTTGCCTTTTTGTAAAATATTGAAGCTTGGTTTGTTTTCATTTTTAGGTATAATTTTCCCTTAGCCACTGGGTCCATTTTAACAACGTTAAAAAGTAATTTTATCAATTTAGCATGGTTAAATATGGAGAAACCCGAAGGTACAACAAGAAAAGAAAATAATTTCTCAGTTACTCTTTGTCCAACTAAGTTGTTCAGATATCGTTGTAAACTGCATGATATTTACAACATTTTACATGTCATGCAACTATTTTTCAAAATTAACGGTTTTTATGGAATTTGGCATCAAATATTTTTAAAGCTGCCATTTTTAAACGACTCGAGATTTTTTATTTATATTTTGGACAAACATAGTGTTCAATAAGATAAACATTTTTACAGAATTCCAACGCTGTAGCTCAAACAGTTAAGGAGTTATGAATGTTTTTGTAAAAACCACATACAAGCAGATAGACCGAAAACGGATTGAGATAGGACACATGTTATATTAAATTTTTTTGTTTGTTTTGACATGCTGAATAACGTGGCAAAGTTTGTTCATGAAGTTGCAAGACATCCTGTATTTGCTAAGTAAAATTGCTGAAAAAATAAATCATCTGTAAGCTAACGTTTATGGTTTGCAAATTTGGTTTATGCTATGAACGTACTTTAAATATTGATTCATTTAAATGTTTACGATGAGGGATCATAAAACTTGTTTTAAATTTTATTCAAAAACATGAAATATATAATGTGTCTAAGCATTTAAAGTGGTTATTAATTAATTAATTTACATTGTGCGTAAATCCAAGGCGTAATGTTTAGTACTTATTTTACTTGCAAAAATCAATTTACAAAAATACTTACGATTAATGCAATAGATTATTAGGAGATATTTGTTTACAAAGAATATTTTAACGACATTATACACTAAATTTGTCTATAGGCCTAACGTTTTAGAATTTGAAGAAGTAAATACAACAAATAATTTATACGTAACAGCAGTATAGTACCAGCGCGTAGAATTGGATCCATAATAATATAGTTTTATCCACATTATTATTGGAAGGATCTGTTATTCCCTGCTATTCGTTACTTGTTTATTGTTGCGAAGGAAGAGCTTTGAAGAATAAAGGTAATTGTATGCATAGCTTTTAATACTTGATTAGTTTACAGGATAAACAATACAATACAATAAGTTTGAAAAGAGTCTGTACACTAACAGGATTAAAATCCTTGAAGAAGAGATATTTTTAAATTTCGATAAACATTTATGACAAAACGTCAGAGAGAGGGCACAAAAAATATCGTGGAAAGGTCCTGGCAGGAACCCTTCCATAAAAGAAAGGACAGTTTTGGAAATGTAGCCCTTCCTTGAACTCGGTCAGACCGTCTCTTTATTTTTTACACTCCTCCACAAAACTTCTTCCCAAAACTCTTTTCATTTAGGATCGACTAGGTTTTGTTTTTAATATTGATTATTGAAACTGTTGCGTGTTAATTTTTGACACGAATCCTACCTGACTTCCCGGTAAAACAAAAACAACATTATTTTCAATTAGCGATATTATTACGTTACAAAGAGAAACTAAATATTTGGAGTAGGCTGTCAACACTATTCGGTTTTGTTACAGAATCGATAGCTTTCGTTAAACCCTCTTAAAAACTTTATATTTTAAAATGCACACATTTTACGAAGGGGTGGATAGGTATTTAATTTCAAACGAGATAGTTTAAAATACAATGTAACTAAACAAACCAGTTTCAACTAGAATACATAAATAAGTAACGACCTAAAATTGCGATATTAATCAATGATATTTAAGCAATCTAATCTGTGGAAATAAGTTGAAAAATGTTCGAATATATTTTAAGCTAAAATAGTTTTCTTTCGATAAGAATATACTAAAGTATATGATATATTGGGATCTTTAGATATACCTTCAATATATCTACACCCCTTCTGTTCACATTTAAAAGGTAGTAAATTAAAATGAAAATAAAGATAAGAGTGATCGATTTAATGTATACGTGTCTTGTTCGAAATTTAGCAAGAAGATATTTTATTTTATTTTTTTGTTATTAATAGTTAATTTGAGTCAAGAGAAAATTTTATGTTTTGTTGGTTAACCCCTCTTTTATTATGCTAACACAATCTACTGTTAAAATGTATTAATTTGATATAATATATCGTCTTCTTCCTTACACCTTACAATATCCCCTAAGTTTAGTACCCTTCTAAAATCCTCTTTAAATCCTTTTTACTCTCAACTCCTATCCATAATATGGAAAAAGTATTGTTTTCGTAAAAAGGTTTGAGTTTTGGGTATGGATGGAAATATACGTTTTGGGCCCCCTGAATGTTTTTTTACTTGGAATATGTGTGTTTATGTGTGTGTGTAGATCTGTACAGAGCTACGGACTACATTAGATTTAGATGAAATTTGGTATGTGATTACCAACCCACGGTATCTCCAGGGGTATTTCAATTTTTTGAAATTCTGATTTTCAATAACGGTTTTCCCATAAAAAGTCATAAATCAACGGAAAATCTGTTTTTCACAAAAGCTACTCAAAAGATCCTTTAATTATAATTTAGTACGTTAAGGTCTTCTTAACTCTCAATTTGTAAAACCTTCAAAGCTGTAAAAATTACGGTTTAAAAGCTATTGCAATTTTTGTGATTTTACCCATAAAATATCATAGCTACTCCCATCGCTTATAAGGCTTGTTGAGCAAAACACCTAATGGAAGAAAGTACGCGTCAGTTTGCTGATACCGTTTATTAGTATTTTGTCAAAAAAAGGTTATTGAGAATTAAATAAAAAAATTAGTTGTCTTTTCAAAATCGGCAACAGACTGGTTACAATATCAACTAAGTTGGGGCCGCTGCCGCAGTCGGGAGTTTAGGATCAATACTGGAATGGGGGTGGTCACAGAGAGAGATAGAATGTTTAGGAGGTTATCTCTCTCCCCCTCTCTCTTTATCACTCTCTCTCTCTCTCACACAGGGAGAGGGGATATATTCAGGTCACACCCTCCCCACTACTTGCCCTATTTTCTGGCTTTACTATGAAAGTGGTTTTACACATCAAAAGTATATCCTTTTTGTCAGTGCCATATTGAAACGGTTAGGTCTAAAAGTGTTATAGATCAAATAATTTCTAGTGGTCAAAAAGCTCTTGTGTCCTGTAATTTATTTTGTTATTGGTCATTTTGCTTAGTTAAAAATCCCACTTTTTTGGGACATCCTAAACATTATTAATGTTTATTAAATTTTTTATTTGAATTTGGTTAGGGGATTGTTTAAAAAAGGGGAAAAAACAGAGAGATCGAAATTAAAATGTGAATTTAAACTATATGCTCAAGAGTGTTGAACAAATAATTCATCAAAAAAATTTTAATTAATTTTATTTTAATTTTTTTTTTACAAATTTTACCAAAACCATCAAAAATCTGTTCATGAATAATCCTTAAAAATAGCTTGTAAGCCAGGGCTACAGATATATCTGTTGCTCTTCTTGTAAGCACAATTTATTCTCTAAATACTAAAAACATTATCTCGCAATTCAACAAGGGGATATTCAATAATACAATACAACAATACACTTGGCTAGAAAGTAATGTGGAACCTCGATAACAAGTCATACTTGATAATAAGTGCCATTTTTAAATCCCCTAGAATTTATTTTACCCCTAACCACATGTTATTGCAAACTTCGATAAGAAGTCAACCTTGATAACAAGTCTTATTTAATAATCCGCATGAGAGTCTTGTTATCAAGGTTCTACTGTAGTAAAATACGTCGTATGGATTATTAGTTCGATTAGCTGTGCTTAGCATTGCGTTAAGAAGATGATAACACGTCTATTTGAATCTAGTGGGGAATGTTCCAAACCACTAATTGACTATAAAACAATGCTTAGTACATTAA